AGCATGTATTCCTGATATTGAGCACCAATTTTTCAGATTTTGAGCAGCCATGAAGCCTTCTAATTTTGTCTGAGGCAGCTGTCCACAGCCCATAATCCACATTTTACAGTAAGGCTTTATTGGCACGATCTTTTGATGCTTTCTTAAGCTGCTTTAATAAAAATCTTAAATTTTTTTACTAAAAAGTTGCTTTTAAGAAGCAGCAACAAAACCATCTCAACGGCAGCATAAATCTCTGCAGTAACTTTCCTTTAAACTGTTATTCTAAGCTACCACTGTGTTCTTCCTAGACTCGTCTTTGCTCTCTTTCTTTTTTTAACAAAAAGCTGTATTTTTGGCAACATTTTGAACGTTCTGTAACTGATTTCTCTACCTTAATAATTTCCTTCTGTTTTTGTTCTTGTAATTTTTTGTACAATGAATTGGATCTCATGTGGGTTACAAAAGCTAGAGTTTCACAAATTATGACAATTATCATCATGAGGGAAGAAGACTCATTGATATTTGATTTAGGGATTATTTGGTGTATAGTGGTTGATAAGATAATATGTTTCCACATAAATACAAATGAGTAATGATATAAAGGCCAAATGATAATTGGATAAACAATAATAAATATAGGAAAGAATAACTGATTAGTAATATTGTGAAAATTGATCAGACTGAGAACTAGAAGATGGAGAGGCTTAGGCTTCGTTTTGTATTAGAAAAGTGTTTTTAGAAAGTCATAAGAAAATTAATATTGTGGATTGGTGGAAGAAACGAAACTGCTAAAAGGAAACACCTAATCTAAGGAACAAATCAAGCTCAAAGGCTTAAAATCATGTAGTATTCATCTTTTTTTCATACTACAATAGCTATATTTATAAGATGGCAAGAACATTTTGAAAGCATGTAACAAAAACTAGTAAGATAGTCCTAAGGAAAACTTTAGCCAAGATGTTCCACATCATACTCACCTAGCGTCAAATGAGCTCGAGATGGAGTGATCGACAAGTCGAGGCGCATCATGGGGAGGAGGTTGATATAGCAATCTTCTTGTCAATGATTTTTTGTGTCTTTCGATGGCAAAGGTCCGCAAGCATTGAGGTGAAGTCCTTTCGATAATTGCTCAAGTACTATGAACAAGCTTAGCAAAGGCAGGTTTTGAAGATTCCGTCAAGGACTTGAACGTGAACGACCTTTTAAATGTTGGGCAAAAATTGTCACTAACAAAGAATCGTTTCCCATGAAACCGTGCTTAAATTGTTGGTGGGCTTGAAAATTTGCGTATGCGTAGAAGATGATATAGTTATAAGTCATAGCTTTGTAACAAAGATTCAAAGCACACAAAATATAAAGAGAAGGGTGCGAGTCATAAAGACAATATTTTACGTGGAAGTTAGGTGCTCCCTAGTTAAATTGATTTTCACTAGTCTCTTTGCCCGAGGGAAGGCATTGACTCAATGTATTATAATAGAGACATTACAACGGTCGTGTTAGTTTGAAGAATATAGTTAATATGAAGTTGTTCTTCAACCAGATTGCAGGCCTGTTCATTCACCATAATGGCCATAGTCAGGTGATGGTGGTGGAGGAAGTATAGTCAGCGAGTTATAGATGATCAGACGGACTGTATTCGATGGAAGATGGTTGGTACGAAGGGACCTAAGACGATAGGCTGGCGGAGGTTGCAAGGGACCATAGCTAACAGGCGATGTTGGTGGAGCGCGGAGGTTTGGAGAGGATCGTATCGGCCGAGTGATGGAGGTCAATGGTACCATTTGTGGTGCATGAACGATAGGTGGTTTGAGGGACCGTATCGGCAGCGACGGTGGTCTAAGGGATCATTAGTTCTGTTAGGTTGACAGAGGTCGGTGTTTCCGGGCGATGGTCCGATGATTGGTTGAGCCCAAAAGTCCAATGGCGTATTCGACAGCCAATAAAGTGCCAATGACGGTTGCGGCGAACATGGGGATAGATCCGGCGATGGTCTGGTGACGTTGGGATTGAAGCTTGCGTGTGGTGGCGGCTGGCTATAGTCCGACGATGCGCCAAGTGGAGCGTCCGAGTGGGAAGTCTGGCAATGGTCGGTGCCGGTGCAGTGTTCGATGTACGGGGTGGTAGGTTCGCCACGGTGGTGCAGAGTTCTTGAAGTCTCAAACTGCTCCTGTTAATCTGTAGCTAAAGGTCCCCCTTATATATAGAGTTGTGGTCTATTTAAAGATTTTTTTTGAGTGGACATGCCTCATAGAATATATGGGATGATCTGAGGCAGATTTGGAGTGCTCTATCGAAAGGCCGCATTGTCCTTCCCATTCATTAAGCGGCATTTCTCAAGTGTAAGTGCCTTAATGATGTTGGAATTCATTGATCTTAGGCCCGTTGGATTCGTCCGCTTGAGTTGCCGATTTCGATATAAAACATGTCATATTTGAATATCATTTGGTTCATTCTGACTTTATTCTTTTAAACCTACATATTAAATGCAGGCCTTCGATTTCGGACACTTCTGGGCTCAGATTGGACCCGATTGTGGTGTCGTTGGGGTTGTCTCTTCGAGACGTCATTTTGCTATAAGATTGTTGAAATTATGAGTTCATATGATTCCAGATTTAATTTGGAAGTTTTCAATTAATATGCTTTGAGATTCGTGTATGACCAAGGACGATTTTTAGTGACCATTAATGAACATTATAAGGCCACTATTAAGTTATTTATTACTTTGATAAAGTATGCTCCCCAAATTTTATTTTCAAGAACTTTTTTAATGATTCAAAAATTTTAATTTTAGTAAATTAGACTATAAATGCGATGAAATAGAAAACTGGATCAAAACTATCTTAGTAAATTTTGATGTGGACACAAATTACATCTATTAATAACACATTGTTCTTAGTAAATTATTAAAAATTGAGACGTCCAACAATTCTATTCAAATAATACCGGAGTCAAAATATATTCTTAACATCCTTATCATATGTGCTACTCTATATTTTAGTTTTGTTGGTGACGGCTTTTTTATTGTTTCTTAAAACGGAGTCTCTTAGTTAAAAATATTAATTTTTGCATAAACCTTCCGTATTAAAGAAAAGTAATAAAAAGCCGTCCCCCAAATAGGGCCTTACCTTACGATTTTGCATTGTCGCATGGCTTTCTTGCTGCTCTAAAATAAGCTTCTTTTATATAAAATCATATTTCCATTATTCTTCCTTAGATTTATACATGTTCTTTAACGGCGACTTTAAAATAACACACCACATCTATAGTGCACCCAAATCATGCTCTTAGGCTTTCATTTCGAGCGGGCCTTTCTTATTTGCTTTCTTAAAGCGCTTTAATATTTTATATTTAGAAAGTTCGTTTAAAAAGTAGGAAAAACAAGCCGTCCCAAACGATACCTATATGTATTAAATTATATATCATATAAGGTCTTTTCATGAATGAAATATGCTTTGTTGTGTGGAATATTTATGTGATCAGTAAAATAATAAAAAAGCACATATATACTTTATTTTTTATCAAAATATCTTATTTGTGACCTTTCATAAAATTTTTTTATTTGGAATGCTTTTAGGAAAATAAGGTTGTTTAAGCCTAATTAATTAGTATTGCTACACGGATTAAAATCAATTCATTCATATCTAAGCAAAATAACATGTGTAATTACTAAGCAAAATAACTGTAAATATCTTGTACTTTAATTCATTTCATATATTTTCGAACATACAGCTCATTTTTAAAATTAATATGATGGATATATGATAATATTTTCCACGCCTAAAAAATAATCAATAATTACATTTTTTTTACATTAATTTAATATCGTTGTTAAATTATATATATATTTTAATTATTTAATTTAACATTGACAAACGGATATCATTTTACACTTAACTAATTAACTTAGATTAATTTTCTTAAAATTTTACATTATAAGACTTGTTAGGTTTATTGCAGTAGAATTTAATATCTTTAAAAAACTAATAATATATTTAAATTATAAATATTTTAAGATATAAACTAACATTTAACATTAAATAAAAATGGGACACTCAAATTAATTTATTTTTATAAATAAAAATTTCTTTATCTTATTTTTTCATGAGAAATCCATGTATCAATTAGAGCTGACAATTTATGATCTCCCAGCTTCCCGCCTCCCTTATTGAATTTTCTCCCAAAATCTGTCCCACTCATCTTTGGGAAGATTTTTGAAGAGAAAACCTGGAGCTGGCCGTGACCTGCAAAGGCTTTTCTCCTTGCCCGAGAAAGCTCCCCAAGTCAAGAGTTTGAGTTGGAAATTATTCACAGTTTTCTCTCCACCTTGGAGATTCTACAAGAGGAGTTGGGGCTTGTGCCCAAGAAGTTGATCGTGGATTGTGGCTGTCCAAGTCATCCAAGAATGCTGTCAAGCACCACCTACTTCCGATCCAACCAACAAAAAAAAAAATACCACCATAACGTTGTATTACTCCATTCCTTGGTGAAGCTCTTTCCCTAACGCTCTTAGCTTCCTAGTTTACTTTTCGTTTATGGTTATTAATAGATTCATGAAGATCATGTCAATTATTCGCCGCTAGAACCTAGTAATAGGGAGAGTTGTGTGAGGGATCTTCTTATAGCAACTAATCTTATTGTTAGTATTGGAATTTCTCGTTGAAACCACTCATGTATGCAAAGTAAGATGTAGTTGAATATTTAATGATCTCAACCTCTCGCATGTGTTTAGAACTAAGCTATTTTATCACTTTAATATTTAACTTATCGTTCAATTCCGCATATTATTATTGCCTCTAAATCTAAACGTGCAAATTTCTTTAAGCAAATCACCTTCGCATGGATCTGGTTTCACATCAGACATAATGGTAAATCTTACCTTATTGTTGGAGATCTAGATTGACTAATCAGGATGCTGTTATGCTTATAACTTTTTTATAGGACGAGTTATACACTTGTCCATGATGACTTTATTTCTTCTGCGGAATAATTGATCTAAGTCCCTCATGCTGCACGCCCAGAAATAATGGCTTTAACATTGCAGCCATTTGTTTATTGGTGGATGAGAAGACCTGCAATTTCTATTTTTATATAGAATTTAAGCTTTCTCCAGGTTATTTCTGTAGGCATTTCAGTCTTTTTTTAGCTATCAAACTGTTTGAATGCTCTCTTCCTAATAACATTCATTCTTGGATAGATACCTACCATGTCAGAGCCAATATTATGAAATAATAGCTCTTCAAATTTCCACACCCCCAGCATGAAGTATATTTCCAACGAGGTAGTTATTTGCATCCGTGTTATTGTTTCTTGTAACTTGATTGTGCATAACTAGATTTTGAATTACATTCTTCAAACAATATATCCATTGTGATCGTATTTGATTTATGCTACTTGAAAAACACTTTTGCCTTGTCTTAATTTGATAAAATTTGAATGTCCAGCCTAAAAAAAGAATTTTTGTAGTTTCCGGGTTGAGTCCCTCTGACAGATATTTGCTATCATCTAGTGGAAGGATAAACTTTGGTTTGTTGCATTAGGAAATGGATCTCTGCTTTGATTGTAATTTTGGGAGTTAATGAAATCATTCCATGGGCCATTGGAACTAGCTAGGTCTTTCAATGTGTTTATTTTTGGTATTTTTTCTTGTCATTTTTTTTTGTTTTCTGATCTGTATTTATTAATGGATATTGAGTGGGTAGAAATTTAAATGTTATTTTAGCTTTTTCTTGTTTAACTTGCATATGCTGGTCAAACCTGGGTTCCTATATAGCTCATTGTCTTATGATCCCAATAGTGCAAGCGTTATTAGAATACCTCTAAACTGTGAACATATTGGTGATTTCAAAATATTTCTCCATCCTTTGAGAAAGTTTAATTCTGATATTCATGTCCTCCACCGTTGTTCTAACAACTGATATCTACCGATTGAGTTGCTGGAAGTTTATTCTGCCAATCCTTACTTATGCAGCATTAGTGAGGATGGGAAGTAACAAATCTTCTTGCATTTTGCACATCCCAGGTACCCTCTTTATGTAGACAGCGGGCTGCATAATAAATTTTTTCATTATTGACCGAGAAGTTACAGAAAGAAAATAGGGTGGGTATGCTTGTCTAGATGAGAAGATGGGGAGGAGAGAGAAACCGAGAAACTTCTTACCTTTGCTTTTCTTGATGGAGGTATGAGCTATTTGGTAGAATGAGTACACTATCAAAGGGGGCGAAGGAGAAATGGGTCAGGACCCAAGTGAGGTGAGAGGGAGAAGGGCTACAAATCCAAAGGGAGATTAAAGAGAGGAAAAGGGAAATATTCAAGCAATCATACTTTTAATTCAATAATCTTTTAAATTATATTCCACATACAAGGCCATGACGCATTTTATATAGATTAAGTGTTCTTAAACCATGCCTAAATTATTTGAGAGTAACAATGAAAGACATACTGTGTCTTTATTATATGAAATTAATGTGAAGCATAAAATAAATATGCTTAAAATTATTTTTGAGATATGGACACTTGTTTTGCTTATGATAATTTGATCCAAAATTTGGCAGGTGTGTGAGCCTATGGAAATTCAGTCAGGCCAAAATATACTCTCTTTTGAAGAGTTTGAAGGTGGCGAGCATGTTAGCAGTGGAAATGGAGATTTCTCATGAGTCTCTTGAATAGCAATAGTAGAGGTAGAGTGTAAACTTGTGAAAGGATATCCGGGCTTTGATTTCAGGCTTCGCTATTCATCATGCCAGTATCTGACTAGCAATCGGGACAAGGGTTATATGGTAGTATAGCAATGGCATTAGATGTGGTAGAAAGTTAACCTGTGTAACTAGTAATGAAGCATGCAACAATATTTTGGACCGTTGAACATCTTGTATCTCTATCTATAATAATAGTGATTGAAGGTACTTCAAACTCAGGCTCAACAGTATCCTATATTTTGAGATCAAGATGTAATAGAACAATTAGAAAGTAAGAGTAACAACCAACCACTAGGTTCTAGCATGATCTCTTGCTCAAGCTCATGCACGGGCATTATCTCCAAGCTTAATCTTAGGCATTGGATCAAGTTCAACTTCAAGGTCAGAATCAACTAAACATTCTCATCAGCATGTATGATGGGCTAGTGGAAACTAGTGGGGCTAACTGGGTGGGTCGAACATTTGGGGGTTAGATATAATTTGTGTGACTAGAGTGGGTTGTTGTAGAAGTGGAAGCCAGAGATATGAAAGATTAGATGGATGGTTGGAGAGGAATGTCTTGGTTCTGAAATGTAAGAATCAAGCTTATGCATCAAAGCATTGAATTTATCTTTAAGAGTCTCAGGTTGGTTTGAATATGCCCTAGATGTCAACTAAATAGGATTGAAATGCAATTTGTGAAAGCATTATTTAAACATGCCACCGAACAAAATAGTATGAAATCTACTAAAAATTTAACATTATGTTGTTAATGTTGATGAATTGATCAACCCCATGATTTTAACGGTGGGGAATCCAAGCACCAATGTTTGTTCCTTTGTCTCTTAAATTTGCAGGACAGTTTACTTTTCTTGTCTGTTATGTTATCATCTTTTTCATGCTATTATACCACCTTTAGTAACCTTTTTCCTTTGATTTTTATGTAGACTCTTTTGTAATCAGCTGCATGGTTTCAACTTTGAGTTGCTTTTCACTATGTTTGAAATTGGAACATACCACTGATTTAACAAAATCATTTTCCTTGAATAGTTTTGAACTTCTTTAAGAAGGTGTATGTTTTTGTTGCAATGGGGACATCCTTATGCTGTTCGCAGTAAGTCTTCATCTTTTAAAGGATAGAAAACCCATGGAGGCTCAGCATAAGTTGCAAGTAACCTAATATGTAGAGCTGCTCTGTGATGAGAAAAAATGTATGCCATCAGGAGAACTGTTTTTCAAACTTCTCCATGCATGCTGGCTCCTCTATGTTTTTTATTTCATAGTCATTCTTGGAAGTTGCCCTGCATTCAGTTGGAGCATATGAAGCTTGAACCTTGCAAGCATTTAATGTTATTACATTATGGCTCCACAAAAACTGTTGTAGTCTCAAAGCCCAAGTCTGAACAATTCGGAATCTTTTTCTCAACTACAACTGAGCCAATATTAGTTCAAGCTCGTGATCCATCTCGACTTGCCTTAAATATAGTAAGTGCAATTGAAGAAGAAAGGTTTGAAGATGCTTTGAAGGAATATGAGCAGCATGTGCATATGGATGGCTTTCCTAGGAAATCAATTTTAAACAAGCTCATTGCGGGTCTTACTGAGAGTTGCGATGCCTGTTGGCTTGAAAAAGCTTCTAATATAGTCGATCTCATCTTTAATGAGAAGAAGCATGATCTTTTGGATAAAGAACCTCTCCTTTTTCTTTCATTCATCCTTGCAAGGTGCCAACAACCCATTCTTGCCTCAAATGTGTTGCGAAAATTGGTTCAGATGGAAGAATTTCCCCCTGTTTCAGCTTGGTCTGGTGTCATAGGCCATTTGTGTCAAGCTGAAAATGGTGCCTTTCTTGCAGCTGAGCTTATCATGGAGATTGGTTATCTCTTCAAGGATAATAGGGTAGACCCTAGGAAGAAGAGCAATAGGCCATTGCTAGCAATGAAGCCAAACTCTTTTGTTTTTAATTTGGTACTGGCTGGATGCATATTACATGGTGTTACAAGAAAAGGTGATCAACTTCTTGAACTAATGCCTCGAGTTGGGGTGAAGGCTGATGCTGGTTTGCTGATTGCAATGGCTCAGATATATGAGAAAAATGGGTGGAGGGATGAGATAAATAAACTGAAGCGGTATGTTGATGAGATGTGTGGTCTCAACGACTCCCAATTGCAGCAGTTTTATAATTGCTTATTGTCCTGCCATTTGAAATTTGGTGACTTGGATTCTGCATCAGGTTTGATATTGGATATGCTCAGAAAAGCTAGCGAAGCAAAACGTTCTCTGGCTGCTGCCAAATCAGTACTAGAAGCTGTTGAGGGTGGAAAGGTCTCTCATCTTCATAATTCTGAAACTGAGAAATTAGAGTTTACTGAGAAATTTGTGTTGCTTAAAACCCAACCTCCAACTTTTACTGAGTTTACTAAGGACAGAAACTTTTCAAGGCTTGAAGCTGAGGCAAGGGAATCACTTTGTTTGTTGTCAGAAAAGTTGAAGGCTCATGTTGAACTGGTTAGATCTAAAGATGGCATTCTCCATCCAACTGAGAAAATCTATGCAAAACTTGTGCGGGGATTCCTGGAAATGAATAGGATTAATGATTTGGCAGCATTTCTTATCAAAGCTAGTAAAGAGGAAGCGCCAGTCTCTGTAGAGAACTCAGTTGTTGTTCAGGTGATAGATGCATGTGTTTCTCTGGGTTTGTTGGACCAAGCACATGACCTCTTAGATGAGATGAGATTTTCTGGAGTCAAAGTAGGTTCTTCTATTTATTCTTCTCTTTTGAAGGCCTATTGCAAGGAGAATCGTCAAGCTGAGATCAGTGCACTTTTAAAAGATGCTCGTAAGGCTGGGATTCAGCTTGATTCAAGCTGTTATGAGTCTTTGATACAATCTAGGGTGAATCAGAATGATTCAACTGGAGCACTTCTTCTTTTTAAAGAGATGAAAGTGTCGAATATATCAAGATCTGGTAAGAATGAGTTTGAGAAGTTGGTGGAAGGCTGTTCAGGGAGCGGTGAAGCTGGCCTGATGTCTAAGCTACTTGAAGAAATCAAATACAACCAAAAGGTTGATTATGGTGTTCACGATTGGAATAATGTGATACATTTCTTCTGCAAGAAAAAGATGATGCATGATGCACAGAAAGCTATGAACAAGATGAGGGCTTTGGGATACATCCCCAACGCCCAGACGTTTCACTCATTGGTCACTGGCTATGCTGCTATAGGAGGGAAGTACGTCGAAGTTACAGATTTGTGGGGCGAAATGAAAGTAATTGCAAGTTCCAGCCCAATGAAATTTGATCAAGAGTTGTTGGATTCCTTCTTGTATTGTTTTGTGCGAGGTGGTTTCTTTCTTCGGGCCATGGAAGTCATTGAGATGATGGAGGCAGAAAAAATGTTTATTGATAAGTACAAGTATAGGTCACTTTGGCTGAAGTATCATAGGACATTATACAAAGGAAAAGCACCCAAGATCCAGACTGAGGCTCAGTATAAGAGGAGAGAAGCAGGTTTGTGCTTCAAGAAATGGATAGGTTTGACATGAACGACAATGGAATGCTGGACCTTCGACTTTAATCAAGCACTTCAGTCACTATTAAGCCTTGGATCTCCATAATATGCCTGCTGCGTTTTAAGAGAGGTATGAAATGGTAGCTTAGAGAAGTATGGTTTAAAACGCATTTATCTTAACAAAAAATATATATTGCCTTGTCTTATGTTGCGTTCCCAACCAGCATGACGGGTTTCTTAATAGAGAAGTGCCGAGCAGCTCTTTGTTTCCATCTCTCTACTTGCTGAAGCTTTGGAGAAAAAACACAGAAAGCTTGCATAGAAGAGATGTCTTCTCCCTTTTTGATACAAGATATAGGCATATCCTGTTTGGATAGACAGTGTAATTCTTCCATCGTCCATTTCCCCATCCTTCATTTGATGGAAGTCCATCTTGTTTTAGGATATTCATATTTCTCTCAAGAATAAATTATTCTACGGTAGATGTATTGATTTGATTGCTATACATCAGGGAATACTAAATTCCTTTTATACCTCTGGTTTTTAGTAAACTGGAGCTGCTAAGCTTTTTTAGTTATCCTCCTATCATGGATTGGAAGGAAGATGGAGGACTAGAGAGTCAAGAAGAGTAGGAAGTTCATAGGAGATTATTCTTATGCAATATTGAAAAACTATTTGGAGAAAGACTTATTTTCTTATTCTGAACAACCCAAAGTATGTTGTTCATAGAGGATGCATAAGCCAAATAGAGAGCCAAGGGGTGAGCGCAAAAAAACACACAGCTCATCTTGATCTGTCGGTTGGGAGCTTAGGATATCAATTAAGAGGTCTTGGGTTCGAGTCTTGTGTATGCGATGTGTGTGAGAGTCTGTCTTAATTGGCCTAAATGCCCCCCTCCCCCCAGCCCACACCCACAAAAAAAAAAAACCCAAAAAAGCCAAGCGGCGGGAGCTTCCCCACATGAACAGCAGGATAGGAGATATCCGCAAACTAGCCTGAGGAAAAATATAGAATGCCAATGTGAATTGCAGCTTCCCTTACGCAGATTTCCAGCATGTATTCCTGATATTGAGCACCAATTTTTCAGATTTTGAGCAGCCATGAAGCCTTCTAATTTTGTCTGAGGCAGCTGTCCACAGCCCATAATTCCACATTTACAGTAAGGCTTTATTTGGCACGATCTTTTTGATGCTTCTTAAAGCTGCTTTTAATATAAAAATCTTAAATTTTTTTACTAAAAAGTTGCTTTAAGAAGCAGCAACAAAACCATCTCAAACGGAGCATAAATCTCTGCAGTAAACTTTTCCTTTAAACTGTTATTTCTAAGCTACCACTGTGTTCTTCCTAGACTCGTCTTTGCTCTCTTTCTTTTTTTAACAAAAAGCTGTTATTTTGGCAACATTTTGAACGTTCTGAACTGATTTCTCTACCTTAAATAATTTACTTCTGTTTTTGTTCTTGTAATTTATTTGTACAATGAATTGGATCTCATGTGGGTTACAAAAGCTAGAGTTCACAAATTATGACAATTATCTCATGAGGGGAAGAAGACTCATTGATATTTGATTTAGGGATTATTTGGTGTATAGTGGTTGATAAGATAATATGTTTCCACATAAACTACAAATGAGTAATGATATAAAGGCCAAATGATAATTGGAAAACAATAATAAATTATGGAAAGAATAACTGATTAGTAATATTGTGAAAATTGGATCAGACTGAGAACTAGAAGATGGAGAGGCTTAGGCTTCGTTTTGTATTAGAAAGTTGTTTTAGAAAGTCATAAGAAAATTGATATTGTGGATTGGTGGAAGAAACAAAACTGCTAAAAGGAACACCTAATCTAAGGAACAAATCAAGCTCAAAGGCTTAAAATCATGTAGTATTCATCTTTTTTCATACTACAATAGCTATATTTATAAGATGGCAAGAACATTTTTGAAAGCATGTAACAAACTATGTAAGATAGTCCTAAGGAAAACTTTAGCCAAGATGTTCCATATCATACTCACCTAGCGTCAAATGAGCTCGAGATGGGAGTGATCGACAAAGTCGAGGCGCATCATGGGAGGGAGGTTGATATAGCAATCTTCTTGGGTCAATGATTTTGTGTCTTCGATGCAAGTCCGCAAGCATTGAGGTAGAGTCCTTTCGATAATTGCTCAAGTACTATGCAACAAGCTTAGCAAAGGCAGGTTTAGAAGATTCCGTCAAGGACTTTGACGTGAACGACCTTTTAATGTTGGAGCAAAAATTGTCACTTAACAAAGAATCGTTTCCCATGAACCGTGCTAAATTGTTGTAGATTAGAAAATTTGTGATGGTAGAGAGATATAGAGTATAGAGTCATAGCTTTGTACAAAGATCAAGCACACAAACATATAAAGAGAAAGGTGTGAGTCATAAGAGACCAATCTTTTTACATGGAAAGTAGGGCCTCGCCTAGTTAAAATGATTTCACTAGTCTTTTGTGAGGGGAAGGCATTGACTCAATGTATTATATAGAGCACATTACAAGGTGGTAGTTTGAAGAATATAGTAATATGAGAGTTGTTCTCAAAAGAGTGCAGGCCTGTTCATTCAGCCATAATGGCCATAGTCAGGTGATGGTGGTTGGAGGAATTGTAGTCAGCGAGTGATAATGATCAGACGGACTGTATTCGATGGAAGATGGTGGTACGAGGGACCTAGACGATAGGTGGCGGAGGTTGCAAGACCATAGCTAACAGGCGATGTTGGTGGGTGCGGAGGTTGGAGAGATCGTAGTCGGCCGGTGATTGGAGGTCAGAGGTACCGTGGTCGATGAACGATAGTGGTTTGAGGGACCGTATTCGGCAAGCGACGGTGGTCTAAGGGATCATAGTCTGTAGGTGACAGAGGTCGGTGTCCGGGCGATGGTTCGATGATGGTTGAGCAAAAGTCCAATGGCGTTCGACAGCCAAGTGAAAGTCCAATGACGGTTGGCGAACATGGGATAGTCCGGCGATGGTCTGGTGACGGTTGGGTTGAATCTTGCGGTGGTTGGCGGCTGGGCTATAGTCCGACGATGGCCAAGTGGAGCGGCCGAGTGGAAGTCTGGCAATGGTCGGTGACCGGGAGGTGGTTCGATGACGGTGGGTGGAGGTTCGCCAGCGGTGGTGCAAGAGTTCTTGAAGTCTCAAAACTCTCTCTAATCTGTAGCTAAAGGTCCCCCTTAATATATAGAGTGTGGGTCTATTTAAAGATTTTTTTTTGAGTGATATGCCTCATAAATATGGGATGATCTGAGGCAGATTTGGAGTGCTCTATCGAAAGGCCCGCATTGATCCTCCCATTCATAGGGCATTTCTCAAGTGTTTAAGTGCCTTAATGATGTTGGAATTCATTGATCTTAGGCCCGTTGGATTCGTCTCGCTGAGTTGCTCGATTCGACTATAAACATGTCATATTTGAATATCATTTGGTCATCTGATTTATGCTTTAAACCTACCAATTAAACTTCAGGCCCTCGATTTGGACACTTTTGGGCTCAGATTGGACCGATTGTGGTGTCGTTGGGTTCGTCTCTTCGAGACGTTCAGTTTGACTATAAGATTGTTGAAATTAGAGTTCATATGATTCCAGATTTAATTTTGGAAGTTTTCAACTTAAATATGCTTTGAGATTCGTGTATGATCAAGACGATTTTTAGTGACTCATTAATGAACATTATAAGGCCACTATTAAGCTTATTTATACTTTGATAAAGATGCTCAAAATTTTATTTTCAAAGGAACTTTTTTAATGATTCAAATTTTAATTTTTGTAAATAAACATATAAATGCGATGAAATAGAAAACTGGATCAAACTATCTTTAGGTAAATTTTGACGTGAGAACAAATTACATGCATATAAAATTGTTAGTAAATTATTAAAAATCGAGACGTCCAATTTCTATTCAAATAATATGAGTCAAATATATCCTAAAATCCATTATCTATATGTGCTATTATATTTAGGCTTCGTTTGGGACGACTTTTTTATTGTTTCTTAAAATGAAATTTTAGTACAAAAATGTTAATTTTTGCATTAGAACTTCGTTTTATCAAGTAATAAAAAGCCGTCCCAAATAGGAACTTACCTTAGATTTTGCTTGGGATGATTTTCTTGCTGCTTAAAACAGCTTTTTAATATAAAATTTATTTATTAGTTCTCTTAGATTTATACATCTTTTACGATGACTTTCTTACTGCTTAAAACAACTTTTTGATACAAAAAATTTAATTTTTGCACTAAAAAGTTGTTTTAAAAAACAATAAAAAAATCATCCCAAATCATGCCTTAGGCTTCATTTCGGGCGGCTTTCTTACTGCTTATTAAAGCGGCTTTTTAATATTTATATTAGAAAGTCGTTTAAAAAGTAGGAAAAAAGCCGTCCCAAACGAAACCTTAATGTATTAAATTATATATCATATAAGGGCTTTTCATGAATGAAATATGCTTTGTTGTGTGGAATATTTATGTGATCATAAAATAATAAAAAGCCATATATACTTTTTTTTATCAATAAATATCTTTTTGTGACCTTCATAAATTTTTTTTTTATTTGAATGCTTTTAGGAAAATAGGTTGTTAAGCCTATTAATTATGTATTGGCTACAACGATTAAAATCAATTCATTCATATCTAAGCAAAATAACTGTAATATCTGTACTTTAATTCATTCATATATTTTCGAACATACAGCTCATTTAACAACATAATATGATGGTATCTAAGATAAATATTTTCACCCTAAAAATAATCAATAATAGAATCAATAATACATTTTTTTACAATAATTTTAATATCTTTGTTAATTATTATATATTTTAATTTTTTAATTTAACATTGACAAACGGATATCTATATTACATTAACTTTATTAATCTTTTAAGATAATTTCTTAAAATTTTACATTATAAGACTTGTTGGTATTGCAGTTAGAATTTATATTTTAAAAAAACTAAATCACATATTTAAATTATAAATAATTATAGATAAACTAACATTTAACATTAAATAAAAATGACACTCAAATTAATTTATTTTTTAAAATAAAATTTTCTTATCTTATATTTTCATGAGAAATACATTATCAAATTAGGTGAGGCAATTTTGATTATATTGGATTAATTCTTTTCCTTTGAAAACTATAAATTTGATTTAAAAAATAAAAATATATAAAAATAATAATAGTGCGTTCAACGAGGGATTTGCTACCTTACTTTTAATTTTTTTTTAAATTTTTTTATTTTATTTTTAAATATTGATTGGATGCTGACTAGGCAAGGAAGCCGCGCGTTGAACAAACGGCTATACCTATTTTATTTTTTTAAAAATGTTCTTAATTGTATAATTAATTATTAATAATACTTATTTTAAAATTTTGACCTTTTTTGATCATTTATGTCAATTAAATCAAATTTAATTTAATTTTAAACATAAGCTGTTTTTAAAATTTTTGCAGGTATTTGGTCAAATGAGGGAGCTAATGAAAGCTACATGTAGTTGGGCCCACCTCTGGGAAAGATTACTTCTTAGTGGAGCCCACAACCATGATCTTTAGATTCTTTACTAGCCGTTATGAGGATAGGGAGATTATGATTTATGTTGACCAAAAATAAGGTCCAAGTCGATCGGGCCCATTCATTTATTATAGAAAACTTTTAAAATATATTTGAATAGGCTATGCCCTCAATTTACCAAAAAATAATAATAAATGGAAAAAATGTATTTTACTATTTTGATATAAATAACTAAAATTATATTTATTTAAAATAAAATTGAAAAATTTTAGGGTTTATTTTGTTTAGTATTTTATTATTATTATTTTAATTTAAAAATAATAAATTGATTTATCAAATATTATACTTAAGGTTTTAGAAATAATCAACATTATTTTTTAATATTTTACTTTGGGGCCACTAGGATTATTTTTTACTTTTGTTTTATAATTTTCTCTATTTTTATAAAAATGTGGGTGATGTGTGTGATATCATCATGTGGAAATTTCAGGGGCGGCCTCTCACCGTTTCTATTTTTTTATTTTTAAATAATTATTATAAAGTTTATTCGATGTGATGGTTATGGGATTATTATTAATATATTAAAATATCAAGGGATGACAATGATATCGTATTGTTATGTAGAAATTATTTTGGGTTATATGATGCGGGATCTTTCTTTAAAAAAAAAAAAAATCTTATTAAAAATAAATATTTGTTTGCCATTTATGACATTATGAGAATGATTATTTTTCTCTTATTGTTTAATTTTGGAAGATAGCTAGCTTAGAAGAATTCTATTGCATTTAGGGTCGTTGGACGTGTTTAGGTTTGATATATCATAAAAAATTTATCTTGATATCTCGAGACAAAATCAAGTTAAAAGCTTACCA